TCTGACTTCTCAGCTGCTTGACTGTGAAGGTGTATTACGGTGGGTTTGCTCTTCATTTGAAAGTTTGGGGTGTTGAACTTTTTTTGAGGTGTCCGTGGTGATGATGGTGACATGATCCCAGCTGGGAGGAGAACAGCGGGACTAACGCTCTTGTTACTTTTGCTGGGATGTTGGTGGTGTACATATGTGAATGCATGCAACATCGTGTCTCCTGTTTCCTTTCTTACAAAAAAAAAAAAACTGTGTATCTGCGACTCTATCGACTCTGGGAAAGGAGGCAGAACTGAGAAGTAACGTGGCGCAATTGAAAGAAACTTGCGTTGGCGGCAACCGTAGAAGCAGCAGTGGGACGAGCGACCAGAAGAAGTAAAACCGAGAGAGCACATCACACACCCACCCACACACACACACACACACACACACGTGCCAATAGCGATACCAAAATAACAGGTGAACATGAAGGGTTCCTACTTTGATCAGCTGCTGGGCCACCCGGAGCGTGAGGCCTTGATGACGCAGTGTCCAGCCCTCGCACTCTTCTGCTACCAGGAATTTGTTGCTGCCATTCAAGGCAGAAGACGCGTGTTCGACCCCTTATCTACGAGGGACGAGGTGGCGGTGCTCTTGTCGGCCGCAACTGTTTCTGAGGTTACCGCTAGAGTGTTTGCAGAGGTGGAAGATGGTGCACCTGTCTGTCCCTTTTGGTGCACCCTCCGAGTGGCTTTAGAGTGTGCGTGGGATCCTGTACAGAAAAGCGATGACCATTGGCGGCTCTACGAGGTAGCGGGAAAACCCCGTCTTTATGGAAAGGCAATGCCGCGAATGCCGCTTGCGCAAGTCTCTTTGCAGAATACATTGGAGACAAGTCGGAATGTGCTTCGCATGACGACAACCTGTGCCCTTGCAGGATCTATTGATCCGTGTGGAGAGAAGCGTGGACAGCCCATTGCAGCCATGTTGCAGTATTCTCGTCTCGTTTCACCGTCGTCCGAAACGAACAAGATTACCTCCGAGGGGTTGAGTTTTTGCATGCAGCCCTTACAACAGCAATGGTGGACGTTGGTTTCTGTGGCCCTGGAGCGCGTGTTGGTATTGACGAGTAGCAAGGGAGTGACACGTGCCGAGCTGTGGCAATTGCTGGCTGTTTTGTTTGCTCTTGATACAAGTCATTTTGTCTACATGTTTCCCGAAAAAGAAAAAGACTTGGCCGCCTTTCAACTTTTGGCGCGTCTTTCTGAGGTGGGACTTGTGTATCCGCTGCTCTCTGATGGTTTTCGTTGCTTTGCGTTGTCACCTCATTTTCACCATGCACTTTGTTGGAGCTCCACGGCCCCGCTCTGCGCAGCTGCGCTGCTTGATAGCGAAGGAGGCTCGTCGCATCGTGTCCGTCGTGAGGATGAAGACACAATTATTACCGAGACCAACTTTCGACTCTATGCTTATACAAAAAATTTGGACCTTTTGAATATTCTTAATCAGTTTGCAGAGAAGGATGCCGAAGTGGATCAAATGATTGCATGTTATCGAGTTACACGCAGAAGCTTTGCTGCGGCTTTGAAACGTGGTATTGGTGCCTCGCATATCTTGCAGTTTCTTGCGGTGAAGGCGCATCCATCCATGTGGAAGCATTATAGAGACGGTGAATCCAAGGGGGCATCAAACTCGGCTTTTTTAGGAGCTGGAAACCGCTTTAGAACTGCCTCTGATGCCCATATTGAAGGGGTCATTCCACAGTCATTCTGCGACCAACTGATGACGTGGGAAAAAGAGTGTCGGCGACTTATTTTTAGTCGCGACCTTGTACTGCTTCGAAATGTCAGCAGGGCTCAGCATGAGGTGTTGTTGAACGCCCTTTCTTTGGGCGGGGAGGGGCAGGCAGTAGTACACCAGGAAAATGGGTATTTGGTGGTTCAACGTGACGCGTATGAGCGTGTGTTGGCCCCTCTGATTTCCACAGAGTAATCGCCACCAATGGAGATGGAGGTGGATGGTCGTGGTTATGCTGGGGAGAAGAGAGTCCAAGTATTTTGATTGCGTTTTGATAGGACGCACTGTGGCTATGGAGGAGTCATTTTGCCATTTTTATTATTTATTCTGTTTTTGCTTACCCCTTGCCTTTGTCGATGTTGTTATTTGGGTGTGTATTTCTGTTTGTTTGCTTGTTTGCTGGTTGTTGTTGTTTTTGCCTAATTCTCTTTTCATGTATATACATTACTCTTCTTTGTGCTTTGGTCTTCACCTGGTGTTGCCATTGGAGTGGTGGGTGGATGAGGTGTATCGACGCTGGAGCAAAAATACACAAACCGCGTCTTATAGGATAACTCGTCGGGGAAGATGATGCGGAGGGCCCCCGAGTGGTTCACGCATGGGCGGGCGCGGGAACGGTTTCATCAGTTTTGGCCGTGGGTACTGAGCAGCGCCTGCGCTGCCATGTATTTTTACAACCGGGAGCCCTTTGATGAGATGGCCGGCACGGTGGTGTCAAGGGTGCGGAGGCCATTACTCAAAACAATGGAGTGGATTGAGTTGCACGACGTTGACCCTGAGACAATGGCTTTAGAGCTTCCGCCCGACATGATATTTGGCCCACTTGAGTTTCCGAAGCAAATGCGTTTTTTGCTTGCGGCGCTACGGGCTGACAATGAGCTGGCCGACGGCTACTTGGCGCGTGTGCTGGTTGATCACATGGATCTCTCGCTTGACGTGCCCAACTTGCCGGAGGCGGAGCTTCTGGAAGCTGGGGGAAAAGATCTCCTTAACTTCGCCATCGATGATTTTCTCGGCGAGGGGACACGAAAGGTGCGAAAACATGTCTTTTTTCAACCGGACGAATTCCTGCGCCTCATTAACTTTTTCTCTGCGTATCCAACGCTTACCGAATATTTTGTGAATCAACGGAATGGCGTGGAATTGGTCTTTCGAGCACTTGATCATAGTCATGATGCATATGCGCGTGTCTTAGCACTCCGATCCATCTGTTTGTTTTGTTTTACTCAACGCCACGATGGTGATGTAGAGCGCCGCATTCTGCAGGCGAACGGTGTGAAGCAGATTGTGGAGGCCTACAAACAAAGCAGCGGGGACCCTACAGATACACGCTACATCACCCTTGTGCTCTCGTCCATTATGAGGCATTACCCAAAAGAAGGGGGGAAAGAGTTTATTGACGCCGACGGGATACAGGCCGCAGTAAATAATTTGAATATTTCCCGTTATAAGGGACTTCCGCAGCACATTCGCGTCTTACATGATGCACAGAGACTTCCGCCTGCGGCATTAGGTAAACAGACGACAAATGCCCTTATCGAAGACGCTGATTTTATTCCCGTGGCTATGGGCATATTGGATGTCTTTCCAGAGTTTTACGAAACCGCTGGGGACATTCTAAGCCTGATAGAAGACATTGTTCCATCGCAAACGACGCCATTTGCCTTACTGGAATATCGCGCGATGCCGATTCTCTCCAAGTTCTTCGTGCACTGGAAGGATGACCACGGCTTCCAGACAGACGGAACACGTACGCAGGTGGTGCGATTGTTTAAGATGATGCTGAATGATAAGACCTGCCAGCGGTGCTACGACCCAAGTGTTGCGTCATACGAGTTGCAGGAGTGCCTTCGCACGGCAAAGGAGGCTATCCGGGAGGAGGAGGAGGGGGGTAGGGTAGGACACGAGCCTCAGCACGCCATGAGTTGAGGCGCAAAACGAAGACAAATTGGCAGAATTTGACAAGCGCAAAGCTGCCTCCTATCAGCTTGAGAAATTAGGGAAAACACATACACACAGAGAAAGAGAGACTGGCCAACGAATTGATGGACGGACAGACAGGCACAATAGCATGCACGCACGGGAAAATGAACGCCCGGAACGTCGTTGGGTCTGTAATATATATATATTGCAAAAAAAATATGTTCCTTGTTGGACCCATATGTGCAGACGTCTGATTGCCTCTTTTCAGCCATGGCAGTTCATTTGTTTATTATTTTTCCATTCAGTTGTACATATATTGTTTGTTTGAATGCCTAACTGCGCGTTGATAACATGACATCATTCTTTGTTCTTTCGTGTCGTTTTTTTTTTTTTGAAAGCTGTTTTCTGCCGCCTTTTCCCTCACTCCTATCTTCTCTCCTCCATGGCTGTTACGCGCAAGGAAAGAGGAATAGATAGACCGGAGTCTGGAGGAGCCGTGACAGCATTGCCGTATATTGTTATTACAAAACATTCGATGACTTCCTCCGAGGAAGAAAAACGTATTGCATATTGCAAGAAGCACAATGTGCATCATCTCTTTGAGCTGCTAGCGACGAGGCTACTGGTGGATCGCCCCGAGAATCCCTTTGAGTACCTTCGGGAGATGCTTACAAAAGTGGAGGACTCTGAGAAGCATAAACACTCGTACGACCCCACAGTTCTTGCACCAGCCATAAACGGTGCGCAGCAGCCACTGAAGAAGATTACGCTGGGGACTTTTGGCATTGATAATGCCGGAAAAACAACCCTCATCTCGGCCTTAGGCGGCAAAATTGAGCTTAACACTACACCGACGGTTGGCTTTACACCGACAAAGTTTCAGACGGAGAAGTATGATATATGCATCTTTGATTTGGGTGGCGCCGCAAACTTTCGTGGCATTTGGGTTCATTACTTCCATGATTGCCATGGAATCATGTTCGTTATAGATTCCGCAGCGGATGAGACTGTGGTGAAGGAATCTCTTAAGGTTCTTCGAGATGTAGCACAACACCCGTACGTGAAAGGCAAACCACTGCTGGTTCTCGCCAACAAAAGGGACCTGAACAATAGTCAAGGCACGAATGTTGTTCCAGATGGTTATTTGGAAGGCTTCTTGGAACGAGATACAGCACACCGTGTGGTGGCATCCTGTAGCATTAGCGAGGACCCTGACCTTGAGGAGGGCGTGGAATGGCTGCTTGCGATGGTGGAAAAGTGTTACGACACACTGGAGGCACGTGTCATGCACGACACTGAGGCTGTGAGAGAAGAAAACAAGAGAAAGGCGGTAGAACGGCTGGCGGCAGTCAAGACTGCATCAGAGAAAAGGAACAGATACGTGGACTCCGTGGGTGGTCATTTTTGATTATCTTAAAAATAAACCTCTTTCTTTGCCTTTTTTTTCTGTTTGCTTTTTGTCTACCCCCTCCCCTCCTCATTGCCAATGTTTGACTAAGCTCTGGTGGCTCTTCGCTTTCTCCTCCTCCTTGTCGTGTTGGTGGAGTCAGCTTCTTATCGTGGGGCTCTGAGTGGCAGACGACTGGGGACGCGTACATATACATGCGTGCGCAGCGATATATATATATATATATGAGGCGGGTTGATTACTGCAGTGCAGCACCGTGTTACGCTGGAGTGTAAGGGTGAAGCCACATTGGGTGTTCTGTCGCATAAAATTTGTTCCATTGCCCGTTTTTTTGTTTTTGTCCTCCAGCTTGCATGCTTTGCAGAGCCCCGCCGCATCTCTCCCCTTTGTGTGGTTTATGGGCCTTTCTTACCGACCTGTTTGCTTCCTGCACATACGGGCCCGAATTTCGCTCTTTGTTCCTTTATCTTATTCTGGGCGAAGGGCTGAGTTGGTGCAACAGAAGCTCCCGGTTCCGCCTTTCTTCCTCCTCACGTAGAGTAGAACGCCGGCTAATGGAGAACACAGGTAGCCAGAATACCTAAAAAAAAAAAAGAGCGGATAACAAACAAACACTTGGAGAGAAAGAAAAACAATTATTTTCGTATTCTACTTCGTTTTGTCTTTTTATTTTCTTTCCTAGTTTCTTTTTTAAAATTTCTTCTGTGCGTTTCTTTCTTTTTTTCTTTTTCTTGGGAGGTGGGGGGGAGAGGAATTTGTATTTGCCCCCCATCTGCACGTATTTTGGGTGCTGTAACTAGTTGGCTGTTTATTTTTAGCCCCATTGACAGGCTAGACCATTGCGCACAGACACAAACATACACTAGTATTAGGCCAAACCGTTAGCGTGTCTGTGTGGCTGTATCTTATTACGGTGTGTTTTGTATCCGGACGTACTTAGCTTATTAGTTTCATTTTTCTTCACCTCCTTTGCATGCCTGTGGCATCAGTATTGTCAACTTCTCTCCGGTTGAATGGAGTGCAGGAGCAAAGGCAAGGTTCGGCAGCCTCTTCGCGGCCTGTTAGCTCTGGTGTGCGCAGCACCTTTGAAGGAACCTACCCGAGTTCTTCCAGGACAGGGCGAGAGAGTTTGTATTCTCCGAGTTGCACATTTAAACCAACAGACTTTGGTGCCGCTGAGGTAAAAGAGGCCATGAACGTCTTGAAGAAGCTTCTCTCCCCTGTAATTATGCGCAGAGTTTTGAGAATACGGAAATTAAGGCGCTGGCCCGGCGAAAACGTGAAGCGAGTGTATACAATAGACTCCATTGTTCACGCTATTCGTTCCTCAGATTCAATTATAGCGAATTGGCCAGAGGAAATTCTTAGGCTGTTTGCAGAGGAAGCAGTGTACTTTTATCTGGAGCCAAAGGAAATCATTGTGTACATGAATGAATGGTACGTGTCTAGTGGGATTGTGGTTTTGTTGTATGGTGAACTTAATGAAGGAACAGCATGTCTGGGATCGCTAACTTCCTTGACTGGACGACCCTACTATTTCCGACATTCCGCTCAAGCAGTCCTTTGCGATCAGGTTGTTCTTTGTCAGGATGTCTCAACTGCGCTTATATTAGCACGTGAATATGCTGATGTGGCCGTGTTGCCCGCTCGATGGGTGTGGGATGTTATCAATAGATACGTTTTACAACACTTTGGCGGAAGCGTGCTGGATTGCCTGAAGTTTACTATTTCACCTATGCGTGAAAGAATCATGAGGGAAACCTACTTCCCCACATCGCTGGCCCTCCGTCGCAGTTGGATGTGGTCACTGTTTGGTTCCAGGGACAGAATACGTCTCGCGCGGTTAATGACAGTGAGGACGTTTTGCATAGGTGACACGCTATTCTGTGAGGGAGATCATGACCCCTACATGCACATAATACGCCGTGGAGTTATAAAAGTGGTAGTTAAGAATAAACCACTGCTTGAGTTTGACTCAGGTTCCTCCTTTGGTGAAGTAAGCATTTTATTTGACGAACCTCGCTCTTGTCGCGCTGTTGCCTCAACAATGTGCGAGGTTTACTCCCTGCATCGAACTCACTTAATGAAATATCTGCGAAAGCGACCAAGATTGCATGAAGCCATGATAAGAACAGCGCTGGAACGGCGTGAAAGGTGGCTTGAGGATGGGAGGCAGCGAGAAGTCATGGGACTTGCCTGTTTACTTGCTGGAGTTCCTTGCCTCAGCCAAAGCACGGAGAGGGTGCGCATTTCCCTTGCAATGGAAGCCAAAACGTATGTTCTTCCACCGAACCAGACATTGTTTGCCAAGGGTACAATATGCGATAGTCTGTTTGTCATTGGACGTGGGACCTTGATGGTGGAGACTGGAAGGGAGGATCGCAGTGTACGATCAACGGCAGATTTTGTGGGGGAGTTGTGCCTTCACCCACATCGTTGGCCAACGGATGTGGTGACGTGCACCTCCGTCGATGGATGGTCCCTTTCAGTGGATGAGATTATGCGGGCTCTTTCCAGCATTAACGCGGATTCTCAGGCGGTGGATATTTGTCGACAGGGCATTGAATTGTATCGTGCACAGTATGGGCAAGACAACGTTATTGAGGAGCTTGTACACACAATACCCTATTCACCTACGATTGAAAACGGTGATGGCGCGACTCCACGCACAAAGAGGGCCACAGTTTTCTGTACAACTGATTCACAGGGTTTGGCTGGGATGCCTGTGTCATTGCTGGGGCAAGCTGAGGGGATTGATACTAATTTTGACTGGAATGAATACGCAATGGAGGACAAATCCAACTTCTCACTCGAAGAACACGATGACGTTGAACAGATGAAGCGTAGTGAACGACGATCTTTAGAACAGAGTATTGAAAATAAACTGAGTTGGCGTGTAGGAGGACTTTTATCCGTCTCTGAAACGAAGAGTTCAAGTGATGTAGACTCTGACTTCTCTGTTCATATTGATGATATGCAGCAGATGTTGGTGGAACAGGTGTTTTTGATGCCCACTGAGCGACAACCGAGGCTACTTCGACAAATTAACCATAGTAAGATTACGCTTATCTTTGATGATGAAGTGAATCCAATGGAAGAATTATCTTCCGACACCTCCACCACTAATGATCTCACACTACCTCAATATGTTGTGCCATCCCCTGTAGTCTATACCCTTGACGGTGTCACTGCCTACAGTGATGGAAACCCGGTACCAGTGGCTGAGGTTCCCTCAACCATTAGCCCACGCACAGGTTTAGATTTCGTTGCTACAGCAACACATCGACGAAGCCATACACCTGAATTTTCACGTTCTATTCCCTGGCAAGTCGCTACACCGCGTACCCCAAGGGAGCTGAGTGGTGCTGCATCAAAGTCCCCACTGAGTGGAGTCCCGCAAAATTCACGATCGTTAAGACCAACTTCAGCCTTCTCCCTGAGGCGTACACTGATACGTGCGGCTTCCGCTGGATGTAATCAACGGATGAATCAGAGTACTGCTATTGGTAACCGAAACAGTGCTCATGGTACTCTCATCTTGTCTCAAATTTCAGACAATATGAGCACAGGTGCGTCGAGTAATGCCAACAGCTGGACAAAGGCTAATAGTATTGACCTTTCACAGAAGGCAAAGATTACGGCTACCATGTTTCAGTCTGCACTAGACCGGTACGTCAAATTGGATGATCAAAGTTATTTTCAGGAAATCGTCCGCGTTTGTTTGCCGTCGCAACCAGAGGAACAATGGTTTGAGGAGGATACAAGCAAACCCGCAAAAAAGATTGAGGGACTAATTTTACTGTTGATGCATGTAAGACGTTGCGAGGGTATCGAAATTGATGAGACTATGAAATTTCCCATTGTAAAAGTATCCACTAACGCCGGTGTGCTTATGCGTACTCCAGTTATGGAAGACCGTGAGGAACCTGTGTGGCCCATTGAAACTGCCTCATGTATCAATTTTATCCATGCTGACTCGGAGGTTCATTTTACAATATGTGATGCCCAAGATGAAGGTAAGATTGCATATTCCGCCACATTGCCTACAAGCAAACTTCAAGAGAATGGGGGTGTGGGTACGATATATATACCTATGCATGCCGAGGAGCTTGGCTTATCTGAATCAAGCGCTAATCTTGGGGCTCAGGTTGAGATTTGCATGCTGGCTGTTAAAGCCTCTAAAAACAGTAGTTTGAAAAAGCGCCTTGATGACGAAGAGGATGAGGAATCTTCAGATGATTTTAGTACAGTGTATTTGCAGGTTTTAGGCGTTCAAGGTTTAAAACACCGTATTGAGGCCGTTGTCAGTGTTTCTGTGGAGAGCGATGGGAAAAGCAAGGAAATTCTGCGTACTCCAAAAGTCACACCAAAGACTTGCACACCCTCTTGGCCAGGGCAATGTAGTTTTTGTCTTGTTAAAAGTGACGGTATTGTTAGCTTTGATTTGTATCATCATGATGTGTTTTTGGCGTCGTACGACACCCCCATTGATACCCTGGCTTTTGGTGGGACAGGCATTTATGTCTTTCACTTGGTTAAGGCGCAGGGAAACCCAGGCGAAGTCTATGGGGATATCACAGTATCTGTTCTTGATCTGAAGGCGGCTTCTGTGAAGGAGCATGCCTTGAATCAACCAGCCAACGTTCTCCTATTACACGTGGATAGCTTGAAGTTGGCGTTAACCTCAGAGGAGTTTACTCCCGACCCTTTTGTTGTTGTACGCGGGTTAAACGGAGAAGTTATCCTGCGCACCACACTCAATCTTGGCACCTACAATGCAAAATGGACCGAGGAGGAGGCGTCGTGTTTTATCGTGTGTCCAATGCTTGAAGGGGCGACTGCCATCTTCCAACTTGAAGTATACGACAACAACGAGTCCAATAAAATTGGTACGGCAACGATGACGGTGACGAGAAAAGGACTACGGCGTAGCCGCATGCAAATTCCTGTGGGGAACTGTGGGTTGTTAACCTTAGTGGCTCACGCGTTTCCTATTCAGGAGGTTCAGCGGCCACCGCACCAAAGGAAAGTTTCTTTCCTTGGCGAAAATAATGGGGAAGAATTATTGATATCGATTCATGTTAGTGGCTGTGACAATCTTCAGGGTACAGGCTTTGACGACTTTCAGATTGATCCCATTGTAACTGCACGTATAGGACGAAGACGCATGGTGGTTGCACCATTGATCTCCGGAAGCACAGCCCCACGATGGCCGTATCCAAAGGCCACGTTTGTTTTACCTGTTTTGCCAGACCTCTTAAATTCTATCACCTTGGAGGTGTGGGATACAAACATCGAGTTGTGTGATGTGCTTGGTGTTGCACGCATCCCAATTGAGGAACTTTGCCGAACAGGTACGCATCATTTTTCACTCCAACCTCACAAGGATCAGGAATTTGGGCGACGGCAGAATCTGGGCACTATCACTGTAAAAACTCGCTTTGGACGAAGGAACGGCAAGGTCATTTCTGATGGATCTTCAGATTTACTTTTCATTGGGAACAGCTACGGTGGAAGCTTGCTGGACAACCGTCTGTTTCAAACGCCAGGTGACACCCCAGAGCTTTCTGTCACGCGCGTTCGTGTGCACATCTCCTGCTGTAGCGCACTTCAGACTGAGCCCTCAATTAGGTTCATCAAGGTCACTTTGTCATGTCTTCAGCACGTGTTGCTTGAGGTGAGGAAGGAGTACGACAGGTCCAGTAGCGTTGCCTGGTCGTTGGAGGAAGCACGGGTGGTTCTTGACCTGCGGTCAATTTACGGGCGTTTGTTGCGCTTGAGAGTTGCGCGCAGTTCCTCGACCTTTGGAGGTGATTATACAGACATTGGGTCGGCGTTTGTGCCCTTCTCGACACTTCTCTCAGTTGCTCCAGAGATCATTTCAGTTCGGAGTTTTTTGCTTACTAACTCGCCGAGCGACCAACACCGGGTAAGTGCATTTGAAGGAGTGGATCGTTCACGAAGCACTAGTGTCAGCTCAGATACGCCGACCATCACCCTCTCTTTTCTCGCATCAAACGAGGCAAACCTTATAGGTGAGGAGGGTGATTAGGCAAGTGTGCCCTCACCTTGCCCAGCTGGCGGTGAGATGGTGTATGTGTTGGTTTGCCACTTTTTGTGATGATGTATTGGTGGTTTGGGAACGTGTGGCAATGCGCAGAGGCGAGGAAGTGGGTAGAAAAAGGCGAAGAGATACCAAATGAAACGAGAGAATTGAACAGCTCGTAGAGGAAATCGGCACCTTGTAAGAGAAGCGAACAAGGAAAAGAAGGTGTGGAAAGGTTGGACTTTCTGCGGGAAGGCAAGGTAAGCATGGCAACGGTTGTGGAATTGACAGCGAGGTCACCCTTAAGTCAAAAAAAAAAGAGGTGAGGGGGTGGGGGCAATAATCTCAAGGCAATCATAAATGCTGGACTCATTCATGCAGGTATATATTTACCTTACCTATTTATGTGTTATACTCTATTTGGCTTGTCTCTGCCTAACAGTGGCCTTTTTCCGTCCCTGTGAAGTTTGGCCTCTCATATATATATATATATATATGTGCGTGTATCCCCCAGACAACTGCGTATGTGCGTGATGTGAACGTGTAAACCGCAACAACAGTGAGGTCAGTGGTAGAATGCAAGTCAATTGAGGACAATGAAAGTGATGAACAAAATAAAAGAGCGAGGTATAGATAGTGCGTCACTAAGAGATATGCCCCTTGAAATATGTAGAAGGAAGAAATAATTTGTAAATGTGAGGTCTTTTGTTTTTGTTTTTGCTAGTTCCATTCCAGCCGTTCTCGTTTTTGTCCTGTGTATATACATATCTGTGCGAATACATATTGCTATCTCGGCACCTTTCATCTACGTTGACCTGCTGCTGTGTGTCCTTGACACCTTCATTTACGTTCACTCTTTCTTGCCCTTGCACTCTTTTTTTTTTCTGTTATTATCTTTTTTACGCACGTGGTGGGTAAAACACCAACACAGTGGTAAATTCACCTTGGAAGCGGCGGTTAGGTAGCGCATACCAAAAACAGAATGACCTAGGGACGGAGAGGGTGGCTGTTCTCGTCGCACACAGATATACGCAGTGAAGGGGAGATGCAGCAACAGTGTGAGGAAGAAGAGGCGTGAAGAAAAGAAAAGCGGGTAGTGGGGGGACTCAGGTAACAGGGCTAAGACTGAGAAGGTGTAGCAGCGTGGGGGAGAACGGTGATGGAGCGGAGAGCGGGGAGCGAGGCATTCAACAGGACTTGTGGCTTTCAACGTTAATATATTTTTGTTGTTGTTCCTTTTTTTTATGTTTTCTTTTCTGCGCCTTCCTCGCCCAACATAGGGGAACAAGGCGGGGAGGCCTATATAAGACCCACTATATCAAAGGAAAGTGGGGAGACTTCAGCAGGGAGGAGTGCCCAGAGAGAGTGAGATCGCATTACTGCTTCATACTAGAGAGTCACCTGATACTAGCAGGATACGACGAGAGTGAGTTTGCTTCTGCTCTGGAAGCAAAAGTCCTTGTGAGAAGTTGGGACGTACGAAGGAGTGAAAGTAAAAAACAAACAAAAATAGATAGTTTGGCATACACTGGTAATGTTTGTCTCCGATCCGTTTCATCAAAATTTTACTCTTGGTACGGGTGGTAACCCTCCAGGGGCCGCATCACCGCTTATGATGATGTGCGGGGTTTATCCAGAGTCAAACGGGGCGGCCTCTGCCCATGTCAATCAGCCCTCAATTGCAGCAAACACTACGGCCGTTCGGCAATGCCACTATGGTTTTCCCATGAACGGATTTGGTGCACCTTTGCCAGCACCACAGGAGGAGGAAGGGGAAACAGAAGGACAATATATGTCTGTTGATAATCATTGGAAAGCCCCTGCCTCTGTTCACCCAGCTGCTGCTTCCGCTTCCGCAGGATGGCAGATTTTTTTTGGCGCACAGCGCCCAACCTCGGGAGCTGGTAATTGCAATTCTATGAGGTCGTGTGATGCCTTTCAAGAGAGCCAAAGTATTCGTGTTGGAAATCGCAATGATGTTCACGTTCACCCCGAGTGCTTGGCGACAAAACCACAAGAAATGCTTTTATGGCTTCAAGAGAAAGAGTGTGAGTTTCGGCAGACACGGTTGCAGGACAAAGAAAAGCTTTTTCGAGTTTTTTGTGCTGACCTAAAGGAGGTGGTTGAAGTGCCTATATATGCGCTTCGTTTTACAAAAGGATTGTATGTAGATCCCAGTTTAAGGGCACGAAGGATGCGGAGTGGACATCAAAATCAATTTGCCATGATGGCATCGCAGTTTCCAACAGCATGTGGATTATTCTCCGAGGATCCTTCCTTGTGCAAGTGGGAAAGATGGTGTAATCAGGTGCATATTGAGAAAGGATGGATGCATACTAAGAAGCGCAAGTTTGAGGCATGGTCTAACGCGCTTGAAAGACGTTTCAATGGGTTTCCCCCAGACTACCTATTTCCGGTTCACGATCCTCAACTGAAATCTACTTTATGTCTACCGAAAGCGTGTATAGCTGGCTTCTCACGTGGCTTATTTCAGGGATCCGCGAAGAAGGTACCAAGCGTGTGTATGCTGTTTCAGCGCGGCCGTTGCACTGCCAATTCATGTTGCAATCAGATACACGTGGATCCAGCATATTTGCAGCTGCATCGTTGCTGGGTATGTAATAGTGATAAACTCACGGAAAAGAAGCGGATAGAACTTTGGGAACAGATGGAGTCCTTGCTAGCATCACTCTCGTCGCGTTGTAAGAGGGACGCCATCGACAAAAATGATTTATCTGATTCGGCAAGGAAGTTGAATCCGAATACTCAACCGTTTGTTTTATCGCCACCACCATCGAAGGCCACCGAAGAAATGACTGTGGAGACCAGTACGATAAAAAGGGTCAGAATTAACCCCGATGCTTGTACTAGGAAGGGGGACGGCAGCGGAACCGAATCACTAGATTTTTGTCAGCCAAGTCGTGCTGTTATGAGTGGCCCAGTTCTCATGGAAGAACCTGCACTTTATTTTCCTCCTGTGAGATCACCAGATACCCCTGTCATTGCGCGGCCACATCAGCAAAAGCAGGATAGTTTGCATACACATATATCTACAAATGGTACAAGCAGTAGTAACTCTCGTTTGCGTACGACCACTGCTGCGGGAAAGATTTTGCCTCTAGGGGAGTTTTTTCCGATAGTGGACGGAGATGAGCGGTCACAATCATCTCTCCAAGCGAGTCATAGTAATATAAGTCATGCCAGCCGAAGTCACCGACACACGAACAACCCTTACACTCTTGGTGGTAGTTCAAGTTGCGCCGCCTTGCCCAGTTTTGGATGGGTACAGCCTGTGCGGAGTGCAGGAAACAGTGTCACCACGATTTCAACCAGTTATATTGGGGCAGACGCCAGCGGATCCACCGTCAACGTTGGGTGTGGAATGCGAACAAAAGCGGATCCATCTCCTGGAGCATCCGTTATTGTTTCTGCACTGTTTCCGGCGTATCATGACCCTGACAGAAGTCTTCACGCTTCAGCTCCCAATCAACCATGGAATGGTTCAGGCAGCGTTGGTGCGAAGACAATGGAATAACTTCAAAAATTTACACTTGATGTGGCCCACGCGAATGCTGAGGAGAATGCTTTTTTTGGGGGCTTTTGAAGGAAGAAAGAGAGCAGAAATTACAGTACTTTTTTGGAGTATAAGTATTTGAATTGGGGTGTTGGGGGGGGGTATAGAAATGAAACGATTGATTTTTTTTGTTTTTTTTGTTTTTTGTTTTTGTTTTTTTTTTGTTTGGTTTGTTTGTGTTTCTCAATATCATTTTACTTACCATTTCAGGGCTGCAGTCCATTGTGCGAAGCGCCACTGACGGATACGTAGGCCTTTCATAATATGTTATGAGGCGCCAGAAGGTGAGACCTGGAGACATGAAGAGGACGCGGCGTTGTTGCATGCACGCACGCGTGGCCTGTTTCCGTTTTACTAGTGATCTTGACGTTGGTATTTTCTTTGCGCATGTGAAAGAACGGTGGGAGTCTGCTGTGTGAGTTATTGCAATGAACACAGAGAGAGAGAGAAGGAGAAAAACACACATGCACACAAGTCGACATTTAAAGGCCCCCGGCTTTTGTCTTATATCTGGCACTGG